TTATTGAAAACATTAAAGAAAACACACACTAAATTGGTAAATCTAATCGGAGGTTGTCCCAAACTTCTGCCAAATGTGCTCGATGAGATCCTTCTTCAGCTGAATATGTTGGGTCTTATCTCGTAGTTCCGCTCTAGTCTGATTATCTGCCTCAGATCGGTGTTGAACATGGACTTGAAACTCCGGCAACACGTCTGTTTGAACATTGAAAGAGGCGCTAGAGCTAGCATTGTTCGACGGTTCAAAGTCGATATTTTCCCAGTTTCGCGAATACGTATCTCGTTCATCCTCTACTATCATGTTATGTAAAATAATGCACGCCCTCATTATTTTTCCTAAGACATCAAGATCCCACATTCTAGCTGGTTGGCGGACAATAGCGAAGCGTGCTTGGAGTACCCCGAATGCGCGTTCCACGTCCTTCATGTATGATTCCTGTTGTTTGGCAAAAAATTGATGTTTGTTGCCTTGGGGCATTTGAATTGACTGCACGAAGACAGGCCACTTAGGGTAGATTCCGTCGGCAAGATAGTATGCAAGATTGTACTCCCGCCCATTCACGGTGAAGTTTACCCGTGGAGCTTCACCCGAATCAATGTCGTCAAAAACCGGTGACCTATCTAGTACATTTATGTCATTCAAACTACCAGGAAGCCCTAAAAAAGCATGCCATATCCAAAAATGATATGACGCAACTGCCTCGAGGATAACTGTTGACGTCCCCTTGTGTCCACTAGTAAACTGTCCTTGCCAAGCCTTAGGATAATTTTTTCACTGCCAGTGCATGCAATCAATACTTCCAATCATCCCTGGGAATCCACGTTCCTGTCCAACTTGGAGCAACCTCTGCAAGTCTTCCACATTTGGTCGTCGTAAGTATTCATCTTGAAACAATGCTATTACCCCTTCGCAAAACTTGCGAGTACACTCGATAGCAGTGGATTCTCCTATCTTGACGTACTCATCACAAGCATCGGCTGCGACTCCATATGCGAGCATGCGTATGGCAGCCGTACACTTCTGGATAGGCGTTAACCCAAGCTTGCCCGCATTATTGCGCCGTTGTGTGAAGTAATCGTCGTAATTTGATATAGAGTCCACAATTCGTAGAAAGAGAGGCCTTTTCATTCGATACATGCGTCGGAACTGGGCGTCAATGTAAGTGCATGACTCGGCAAAGTAGTCGGTCATGAGTCTCTCATGCGCTGCATGATGATCTCTATGTATGTATTTCCTCTTACGTGGTTGTTCGCTTCTCCTTTGCAATTCTTCAAGAAGTTCTCGCTGTCTATCAAGTATTTTTTTCTTCTATTTCCCATTGTTGTTGGAACTCTTCTAGACTAAACTCATTTAGGAAAGGATCCATTGGATGCTATGATTTTTGAAATGTTGATAGGTATACTTATGATGTGCATCTGATCAGTTTATATAATGAAGGGTAGTTGTTCAAATAATTGAATTCACATGCAATTGCAGAGACATGTGTCATAGGGCATGCATGTGCAGAGAGTTGTCAATTCATATTTTGTATTATTATGCAGGTGTAGTCATTTCATCCTTTGTATTTTTTGCAGTGAAAGGTCAATTCAACATTTGTTTGTTTTTGCAGTGAAAGGTCAATTCATATTTTGTATTATTATGCAGGTGTAGTCATTTCATCCTTTGTATTTTTTGCAGTGAAAGGTCAATTCAACATTTGTTTGTTTTTGCAGTGAGTAGTAATTGTATCTTTTGTACTATTATGCAGTGAGAAGTCAATATCAATCGGCTTTATTGAAACATAAACAACAATTTTATTCAAACATAAACAACACTTTTATTAATACATTCAACAAACATAGGCACCCACACAACTCCAAAATTAAACAAACGGCACACAAAAACATCAGAAAAAAGCACACAATCATAACTTTTTGAGAAGGTCTTATTTTCCAAACAGGTTCTTCCTCAACATATTATAAGCTTCTTCATCTTCATCGTCACGATCTGGTTTGTTTTTCAAGAATAACCACATCTCCATATTCTTGGAATGAGCCAGGTTATTCATAGCTGAAGCAGTACTTGATCTTTTCTCTTCAAATTTTTCATGAGCACTGACTAGCTTAGATAACTCCTCCTCAATTGCCCCCTTTGATTTCCTTGACACAGATGTTTTACTAGAGGAACCTCTAGCTTTCTTCTTTGCCACGTCCCTACCCTCTGGACGTACAAGGGTAGGAGTTGATGATTCAACATCCTCACCACTACTCTTTCTTTTAGAGCCACTACTACCGGATGCATTTCCTCCTGTCATATATTTGGGTTGATTACGAACCACCTTCCACTCATCCACCAAATTAAACGTCGTACCTATTTTCTCAAAGTACAACTCTCTTGCCTTGGATATGTAGTTTTCATCGGACCAACCGCTACGCTTCTCCCTACATGCAGTACTGTAGCAGCCAATGAAACTGGATATCTTTCTGTTGATGTCTTTGAAATGACTATGGCACCGAGACACAATCCTCTCCTTTCCACTTTTGGCGTTCTCATTCACGTACTGTGTAATTTTACCCCAGAAAGTTTCACCCTTTTGGTTGTTCCCCAACTCACTATCATTACTAACGTGAAAATAACCAGTTAGTAAAAGTATGTTGTCTTCGGTGGTCCAAGTTTCATAACTTGATCTCTTTGCTGATTGTTGGGTTGGAGGGACAAAACTGTGAGGAGTATCCCCACCAACATTTCCCAAAGACATTTGGGTGGAAAATTCTGGGATATCTGTAGATCCGCTACTAAACCGGGGTGTCGCTGGCTCACTCGACTCCGTGTTAGGACAATTCATATGGGAGGGAACATAGCTGCTTCCCGGAACTGGAGGATAACCGTAAGGAAGATAAGGATATTGCATGCCGAAATTTGGTTGCATCATATACGGCATTTGAAAATTGGGCTGCATCCCCGTATTTTGAGTATTTTCGGGACGTTGTATATTTGGATGTTGTGGTTGAGGGAGGGTATTTTGAGGTTGGTTAGAAAAGTTGTAGTTATAGGGAAAATTAGGATAGTTTTGTGAAGGATCCATGAAGAAACTAGCTTCAAATTGTAGAAAGAAGAAGAATAGGGTGTAGAAACTCAGATTTTTTTTTGTGTCCAAATGACACAATGTTAGTCTCTATTTATAGAGTTTGAAAATTAAAAATTAATGGTATAAAAATTATAAATTAATTCATTGTATTTATCTCAAAAAATATCAATTAAAAATAAGGAGGAAAAAAAATCCCGCCCAATCAAAATTTGCCACGCGGCAGCTGGCAAGCTCTCGCGCGCGTGGCCTTGTCAGAAATACCCGGGGTGAAAATTTTCACCCATTGGCCTTCGTAATTTGATTCACCCCCCCCCCCCCATTCCCCCCCCCCCCCCCAAAAAAAAAAAAAACCCCTGCTGCAACCAAAAAACTCTTCAAAAAACCCCTGCTGCACATGGTCTAATGTGATGAAAAGGTTGGGCTTTATTACATAGCTATCTCTTGGTCGCTTATTCTGTAAAATAATCTGCCACCTCATACCCATTATAATACCTAATATAAGGTAGAAAAAATGGATTCAAATTTTCTCCACTATCAAAAAATAATAATGGAGGGACCAGTACTTAATCACAATCATTAAATATATGATGGTGATTAAGATTTAGAATGTATCACAATTATCTAGATAATTAACGGTTGGCTTTAAAAGTTACAAACTCTCCACTACTTTTTTATAGTGCAGATGATCCAAATTCAATAAAACTAGGGCAGATTTAGGGTTGGGCATGGGCTAGTTCGAACTGTGGGCCTAATCAGCCTAGCTAGCTCGATTTGGACTGAAACCCTGTTTAGCCCACACGGGGCCAGACCCGACCCGGCCACATTGGAGGTGGGTCATGGGTCGTGCTGTGTTTTAAGCCAAACCTGAGACCAAAGAGGCAAGCCCGACCCACTATAGGCTCAGCCCAAAAGAGGTTGGTCTGGCCTGAGTTAGTTATGAATATTTAATTTTTTTTAACATTAATGGTTGATATTTTTCTCTTGTATTTGTAAGTTAAATTTAAACTAAATAAAAGTTATTAACTTTCCATGCATGTAGGTCTTCCTCTAGAGCCCGAACCACATATATGTCTGCGATGTTTTTGTGTGTGATGCTCTTTGTGTAATACATGCGTGTGTGTATATAACATTTAAAATAAAAGTTTTAAATAGAAAAATAAATTAAATATAATTTTATAAATATAAATAGAAGTTTAATATATTCTAAATAGGAAAAAATTAAAAAAGAAACCCGTGGGCTACCCATGACCCAGGGACATTGGGCCCGTTCCAACCCACCCCGCCCTGCTCTTGGCAGGTCGTC